AAGTCCTCACCCCACCCCACCCACTCCCAGGGGGATGCCGGCAGCCCTGAGGGATTGAACCACTCACTGACTTCAACTCTTCCTGCATACTCATTTGGACATGGCATTCTTGGTCTGTAGATTTAGGTGGTCACATCCACTGGGATGACAGACACCAGGTACGTATCAGGCCCTGTGACAGGTGTTTTACACATTCTCCATCTAAGAGGTCTGCGCATGCCTACCTGGTTAGTGGCAGATTGAAACGAGACCTCGTGGTTGTCGCGATTAGACGTGCCCCTGTATGCCACTCAAGCCAGACCCTTGAAGCCCAAAGGAGAAGAAGTGTAGCAAGGGAGCCCTTCCTTTTCAAAGCCATTCCAGTTGTACTTTTTACTGCTGAGCTGGCAGACTTTGGACTGGGACAAGAGTGAGGGGTGGGGGCAGGGTGTTGCAGGACCCAGCCCCTGAATGTGACTTGTAAGCCCCTGCTTCCTGGTCCCAGTGGGTTCCTTCCACCTTCAGCTGCATCCTCCCCCTTGCATCCACAGCTGTGTATCTGCATCAGCCTGTCGTTCCCTGCTTACAGGTTTCGGTCCTACAGGGCCCTGGCTTTCCGGGCAGCATTTGATGTGAATCGCCTTTACCACCCACTCCTTGGGGTGGACCCACCCCTGGCACCCAGGACTCCTTGCCTCCCAAGGACTGAGCCCTCTGGGCTCTCCTTCCTTCAAATCCACTCTCAGTTTTTACTTTTGTGTTGAGTGAGAGGGGTTAACCTCCTACTGCTTGCTGGGAATGGACTCTGCCTGGTGGGGAGCTGGCCGCCCGTTCATCTGGCTGCCATCTGTTTCTTCAGGTGTTATGCGATTCTCCGAGGGAGCAGCTGTGTGAGTGGAGATGCTCTCAGTGGTGGAGAATGGACTGGACCCCCAGGCTGCCATCCCAGTAGGTGGGCGAGAGAGGATCAAGGGTGGGGAAGGGCTGCAGGGGACAGTTATTTCTTTGGCTTGGCTCACTTCGAAATGAATGGGCACTGCCCTGCAAGAGAGGCCAGGTAGAGGAAAAAGTTACAACACAAGCAGGCTCCGAGGAGACCCTGTCCTTTCTAGATCACCTTATTGGTGGTAAGATGGGAATTTACAAAAAGCAGTGGGAATTTGAGATCAGTTACCTGAAGACCAAGGATTTCCATTCAGCCCTGTGCCCTTAGGCCATGATTTGGTCACAGTCTAGCCAGTGCATTGAATTGGTGGGAAACAGATATTCCCAGGCACTAGTTTGTTGTTTCAGTAATGGGGGTAAGCTGGTTAACTTACATGTATCTGAACATTTACCATTTTCTAGGATTTTCTAAATGTAATTATTTGTGACCAGTTCACCAGAGCCCCCTAGGACTCTCTCTTGGAGAGCCCTTTGCACCCTCCTGGGATGTCTCAGGCACTCTGTGGATGGAGCTGTCGGTTCCCTTGGAGAGGCAGAAAGTCAGGTAGCTTTGGGGCTGGTCCCTTAGCAGCATCCTGAGGTCACTTTCTGGGAGAGGCCAGGATTCCCTTTCCTCCTCACTGCTGCTTCCCAGCTCAGAGAACTCTCTGCTTGAAAGGAACTGTAGCCCCCAGAGCTGTGTCTTTCCCCTCTTGGCCACAGGAGAGTCCAGCTCTACCTGTCCCCCAGCTGGCTTTCATGCAGAGGCTCTTCCCTCCCCTCCACACCCCCACTGTACCACCCTAGCACCGGCTGAATCCCGCCCCAGGACCCTCGAGAGCTAGGGCAGAGCCCTGGCCAACTCAGCCTTTTAACAGCAGCTGCATAAACTGACTCCATGAGGGTATGTGTTTCTTGGGGGTATGCCGTATTTCTCTCTGTATACCCTAACGCAACACCTGGTAGGCACAGTTGAACGAAGTGTGTTATGTACTTTTTTTAGATAATGTACTAATAACGTCTTGCATTGAAAAGGACATTTAACATTGGACTTTTTCAAGATTAAAAACTTTTGAGCTTCAAAGGGTACTATTAAGAAAATGAAAAGACAACCCACAAAATGGGAGATAACATTTGCAAATCAAATATCTGATAAGGGTCTAGTATCCAGAACATATAAAGAACACTTAGAACTCAATAAAAAGACAAATCCTCCAGTTATAAAATGGGTAAAGGATTTGAATAGGCACAGAAGATATACACATGACCAGTAAAGACACTCATTATCATTACACATCAGGGAAATGCACATCAAAGCCACAGTGAGCCACTACTTCACACCCACTAGGATGGCTGTCATAAAAAGTCAGTAACTAGTGCTGGCAACAATGTGGGGAGACTGGGACTCATATTGCTGGTGGGAATGTAAAATAGTGCAGCCACTTTGGTTAACAGTTTGGCAGCTTCTTGATAAGTTAAACATAGGGTTACATATACAATTCCACTCCTAGGTGTATACTCAAAAGAACTGGAAATATAAATCCACCCAAAAACTTGTACATGGATGTTCATAGCAGCATTGTTAATAATAGCAAAAGAGTAGAAACAACCCAGATGTCTGTTAACCGATGAATGAATGATAAAACGTGGTATATCTATGCAGTGGAGTATTATCTGGCAATCAAAAGGGATGAAGTACTGACACATGCTTGAAAATATTATACTTTTTGTATTTTTAGTAGAGACAGGTTTCACCATGTTGGCCAGGCTGGTCTCGAACTCCTGACCTCAGGTGACCCACCCGCCTTGGCCTCCCAAAGTGCTGGGATTACAGGTATGAGCCACTATGCCCAGCTGTGAAATCTTCTAAAATTAGATAGTAGTGATGGTTGCATAATTGTGTGAATGTACTAGAAACAATTGAACTATGTACTTTAAATGGGTGCATTTTATGGTATATGAATTATATCTCATTAAAGCTGTTACTTTTTTAAAATTTAACTTTTCAAAGATTATTAACATTTGTTGTTTTGGCTGAAATCAAAATAAAAGATTAAAATATATATCCATAATCCTATCACCCAATAATTCAAACCAGTTTTTCTTCAATCCCTTCCAGTCCTTTTCTAAACACTTATGTGATTTTCACATACTTATAATTATGCTCAATTTTTACTCTATATTTCCAGAAGACTTTATATACATTTTGTGGTATATTCATTTAACAAACATTTATCGAGTATTTCTATGTGCCAGGCACAGTGCCAAATGTTGACACAAGGATGAATAAAACACTGGTCTTAGTACCACACTCAGCTCTTTTATATACATATTTATGTGTTTTTTTTTTTTTTTCTTTTTTTTTTTTTTTTGGGAAAGAGTCTCTGCTCTGCCACCCAGGCTGTAGTGCAGTGGCATGATCTCGGCTCACTACAACCTCTGCCTCCTGGGTTCAAGCAATTCTGCCTCAGCCTCCTAAGTAGCTGAGATTACAGGTGCTCACCATCACACCCAGCTAATTTTTTCATTTTTAGTAGAGATGGGTTTCATCATGTTTGCCAGGCTGATCCCAAAGTGTTGGGATTACAGGCATGAGCCACTGCGCCCGGCCTCTTTTATAATTTATCTAGTAGGTTTTCTGGTTTTCAAGGGAAACCACTTCCCTAAAAAAAAAGTAGTCCTGCCCTCAGGAGCAATCTTTATAGTGCTATAGATCAGAAAGTATTATTTCTACCTTAATAGATGAGGAAATTGAGGCTCAGAGAGGTTAAGTGAAATGTCTGAGGAGGCCCCTCTAGTTACTGATGGCTAGGACTGAGCCTAGTCCTGTGGCTTCCAGGCCTAGGATCTTTCTTTTTTTTTTTCCCCCGCTTTTTTTTTTTTTTTTTCTCTCGTTTTTTGTTGTTTTTTTTTTTTTTTTTTTTTTTTTTTTTTTTGGCTCACTGCAACCTCCACCTCCTGGATTCAAACATTTCTCCTTCCTCAGCCTCCCCAGTAGCTGGGATGACAGGCTCGCACTACCATGCCCTGCTAATTTTTTTGTGTTTTTCAGTAGAGATGGGGTTTCATTATGTTGATCAGGCTGGTCTTGAACTGCTGGCCTTATGATCCACCTGCGTCGGCCTCCCAAAGTGCTGGTATTGCAGGTGTGAGCCACCACGCTCGGCCTTTTTGACCTTTTCTTTCTTTTTCTGAGACAAAGTCTTGCTACGTTGCCCAGGCTGGAGTACAGTGGTGTGATCACAGCTCACTGCAGCCTTGAACTCCTGGGCTCAAGCAGTTCTGCCTCTAGCATCCCAAAGTGCTGGGATTACGGGCGTGAGCCACCACACCCAACCTAGGATCTTAATGTAAACCAGGCTCCTGATCTCCTCACGTTTTTATTGCTGTGGGTTGGGGGGCTATTGTTTTTGTTTTCCTCTTAGCTTATGGATTGTCTACAGAAACTTGTTTAGGTGAAAAAGCTGGGAAGCCCCACCCTTGTCCTAGATGGGTTTACCCAAGCTCCCATTGCTGCAGCTATGATGGGGCTAAATTTAAACACAAGATTATATGGCTCTAAGTTCACGTAAGTTTGGTCTAAAAATCAAAAAGGGTCTACACTGAAGGATATGTAAAACAACAATAACAATAATTATCTCTGGGCAGTGTGTGTGATTTTCCTTTTCTTCTCTATGCTTTGTCTTTCTTTGCTAACAATGTGCTAATTTTGCAAAAGGAAGCTACAGACCTACCTATAGATGTGTGTGCATGTGGTTGCACGTATATTTGGCAACAGGCAAAGAATTACACTCTAGGGAATCTCCATAGGATTTTCTGCTAAAGACCTGTGTTCTGTTTGGCGTTGCCTAGGTCATCAAGAAGAAGCTGGTGGGATCCGTGAAGGCCTTGCAGAAGCAGTATGTGTCCCTGGACACAGTGGTCACTAGTGAAGACGGAGATGCCAATACCATGTGCAGCACCTTGGAGGCTGTTTTTATCCATGGCCTGCATGCCAAGCACATCCGAGCTGAGGCCGGAGGAAAAAGGAAGAAAAGTGCCCACCAGAAGCCTCTGCCCCAGCCTGTCTTCTGGCCCCTCCTGAAAGCTGTCACCCACAAGTGAGATTAGCTGGGGAAGTTTTGCTTTGGGGAGGATCAGCAGAGCATGGGACACTTGGCTTTTCCTCCCCAGCTATTCAGGAAGCCAACAGAGATGCCCTGTGTTGTAGCATAGAGATAGGGTGAGGTAGGGTTGCAAGTGTCTTCTGGAAAGGTTCATCTCTAGACCAAGCTTCCCAGCCAGTGTGCCAGCAGATCTGGAGACCCTCAGCACTCAGGCAAGAGCCTGTGGCTGCTTTGAGCCCTGAGACTGGTCGCCTTTAGCAGGAACGGCGTTTTTGCCACACTGGGGCAGAGTTATGTAGTTACAGCAGAGGTTGTGGCCTGCAAAGCCTAAAGTATTTACTATCTGGTCCTTTACAGAAAACGTTTGCTGACCCTGCCTTAGATTGTTCGAACATCTGAGTTGTAAATCTTATCTCTTAAGGAGGTATGGGGTTATTTTTATTAAAGACTGGAATCAGGAAGGAGCATATGAATATTCACCCTGAGACACTTCTCTCTGGCCTCTGTCTGGGCTTTTGAGCAAGTTGCTGGCACTGTGCCTCAAAGGACCACTAAATGTCACCTTGAGCCCAAAGAAGCCTTGTCAGTCTCTGATCTTTCCACACCGACTGCCACTGCCCCATCTCCGGTTCCTCTTCAGTGGCTTTCTAGTTGTCCCCCTATCTCACTCTGTCTTTCCTTGAGTTTGTCACCTGGTCAACATTTACTGAGCTGAAGCTCCCGGAGCTTACTCACTGAG